AGTCACTTTTGCGAAGTTGTATCAAATTTAAATTATAAACAATTTTTCGTTGTCATTTATTACAAAGGAGGAGGAAAAGAAGGGATAAATGAATGATGGAAAGTGGAAAATGATCAAAGAGCAGCAAAATCTTGAGAAATTTAGGAATAGTCTCTTATCAGAAAAATTAAGCATGGCTTAGTCGAAACTTCGAAATCTTCAAAAAATTATTAAAAATATATATTAATTAAATAAGCCGTCCCTAATTTTTTCTCATAAGGGGCCATTCCTAAATTTCCCAAGATTTTACATATATATGATATCTTACTATTATATATATATGATCAATATCATTGATGTCCAATAGCTTTAACTGAAAAATAAGGATTGAATATTTCATCAATAAAATATAAAATTTTTAAAGATAGATAACAAATTATTAATAAAATAAATATAGTTGTTACAGTTCAAATAATTTCAATTGTATGATTTTTTAATAAATTTAAATTTAAATATTTATTTGTTATAAAGTCAATAATAAAAAAATAATGTTAATGAAATAATTGTTATAATAAACATTATAACAAAATTATGAAGTGAAATTGAATTATCTGAATATAAAGAATTTGAATCTTGAAATATATATCACGTTGAAATTTTTAATAAAAATTTAAATTTTATATATTTGAAGCTTAAATTCTAAAGCACTAATCTGCCATATTAAATTATTTATTAAAAATATTTTTAATTTTATTTATAAATAATAATGATGGAATTTCATTAAATATGTGATTAAATGGAGGATAATTATTTAATCATTCTAATAAAGATTGATTAAATTTAAATAAAATTAATCGTTATATATATACATATATATCTTATTACACCACTATCAACGATATATTCCGAAACGTTACAAAGTTTCGGATCCATGCTGCTTCGTATAAAATCAAAATGATTCGATTAGTCGGAAACCAGTTGCGAAAACAAGCCTGCCACGCGATTCTACAATTCCCCGCGAGTTTCCTCGAGCAAATAGAAACGGCAAACACGAGGCGTTAACGGCGAGACAGTCACATCGAGATCGAAGTGAAACGAAAGGACAACAGTTTGGCTCGTAGCGGCAAAGGATCAAGGAATCGGAAGTAACTATCTGACCGGTTCAAAGGGAAAGGGACGATAAGTTGCCACGATCCTGATCTCCCGACGTCCTTTCACTTGGCCAACCAACGCGACTTTCGATCGATCGTTTCCTCACTCACCTTCGTCCCGACCCTTTTCTGCTCTCGTAACACTTCCCCGTAAGATTGGTCGCGTGCACGAAATCGGTCGTCTTGCTACACTCGTAAAGACTCGACCACGTTTTCTGGCTAGTAGGTTCTACTACTCTCGTGCAGTTTCGCTCGTGCGCGCGTTCGATTAGGCCACCTATCGCGGCCGAAACGACATCGGAGGGCATTGATTCGGCCAGAGCAAAGAGGATTAAATGAATTACGTAAGCTCTCTCGATTCGGCGATTTTGGCGAACATTCGATCCGCCGTTGCGACTCGAATTCTAATTCAGTTGATTAACCCTTTGGCTCTCGCATCTCGATCGATCCAACGACGATAACGAAACTGTCAACCATTCCTTTCTCGTTCGTCTCTGTTTCGTGACGATTGTGACGTTTAGGTTGTAACGATGAGAAGATTGTCTTTAAATCACTTCTCGTCATTCGATAACAAAAAGAAGAAAAAATAATAATAATAGTCAACGTACAGGAAGTTTCACTTTCTTTTTATCGTAGATTCGTGATTATCGACTATTTGACTAATAAACTAAAACTTGAAAACATTTTCATTTATAATAATGGGAGATATCCGATTCGCTCAGTAATATTTGGATAAACGAAAAGCCTTTGAGAAAAAGACCTCAAGTTATTACTAAAGAAATCTTTAAATATATAATTTAACGATATCGAGGACAATTAATTCTACTTGGTACACAGATCGTAAATGTATTGTCCTTTTACACCACTTCTGTCAGCGCCATTCTTGGTGGATAAATTTTCCAGCACTAAAGAAATACAATGGCAGTCTCTTAATGGATTTTTTCTCTCCTTAATTTTTCTCTAATATTTGAAGCAATTTCATCAATTTCTTTCAAGCAGCACTGCTTCATTCCCAGGCGAAATTGATGTTAAATGTAAATTTGGTCTTTCAATTTTTGCTTGAACTTTTAATCGACTTTTGACGAATTTTTATTAATCCGCGACATTTAATTGCACAGGCGAAAGAAGCAACTCTCTTTGAAAGAAGAAAGTCTGAACTATAGACTATATATATATATATATATTATATATATACTTTACTATATTATATATATACATTATACCTTACTATAGACTATATATATACCTAATATAGACTATATATATATACTTTACTAAATATATATACATATATATATATA